TTTTTTTTTTTTTTTTTTTTTTTTTTTTTTTAGTACATATACCGAATTTTTAAACATATATTTTATGTTAAAATACTTTAGGGATAATCTTTTTACGTGATCAAGTAATTACAATACCAATTAAAATTATATGTAATAGCTTGAATGTAAGAATTTTGGTATGGCTAAAATGAATATTTTATTTGGTGGATTTTCTACATATAGTTGTATTTTAATAGCGTTTAAACTATACAGTATCTTTTTAATTAATAAAAAGAATACTGAAAAATCTTTAAATAATTGTTATTATAAAGTTGTTAATTAATTCTGTCCATTTTCGTGAAAAAAATGGAAAAAAATGCATGTTGCAGTAAACACTCTATATATTGATCGACTATTTACCCATTTGTGTTCCATCGGCAAGGAAACATTGTCGAAGACTTCTATTAAACGTTTTTTCCAACACTACTACTACTTTTCATTACGTTTCATTAATCAGTATCTATGTCTACGACTTTATAAGCGTTAAACAATTTGTACCATATGCATGTATTTCCTATTGGAAAATAAGAACGAATTTTAAACACAGAAAGCCGAATTTTAACGGTACTATTTTATTTTAGGCGATTAATAAGCGATTAAATGAGAGAATTAAAGATTGAGAAATATGAATAATGTTTTATATACGATTTTACAATTTATACTTATCTATTTTCAGTGATATTGTATGAAATGAAATATTCGTATAATAAGCACACCTATTGTTGTTCATTCCATTCAACGTTATTTAATCTTGGTTATAAGATTTTTTATTTTCAATTTTTTCCTTCATAAAAACATGGAATATTTTTATTTCTGTCTTGATTTTAATCTTGTATTCAGTTTATTTGCTAGATAAGATATAGGCTGCCACATACAATGCAATGCTTTTTTTTCTTGATTTTCAAAGTTTCACAGAAACTTAATTATTAATTATTACTACTAAGTAAATGTAAAAGACGTTGATAAATATATTGAAGAAAATATATATATATATACTATAATTACGCATATAACTTTATATGCTTCTCTTTTAGTATTATTATAATAGTATTTAAAAAAAAATAAAAGTTTCCTACTATTTAAAAAGAGTATTTTTTTTATTTAAATTTCATAGAACATTATTATTATGGAGAATAAAATTAATGAATTTTTAAAAATACATTTTTGAAAGAGAAAAAAAAAAAAAAATAGAAAGGAAAGAATGAGATACATATTACACATATTAATAGTTATAAAAATCGATGGTACACTTGGTTTGAAAGAAAAATCGCTCGAAGACGTGACAACATGTTGAAAAGATCTTTAATCTCTGAAAATTTTGTTTCCAAGGTATGTTTCTAACGTATCGAGTTAGAGATGACTAAAACAGTGATTCTCAACTTATCTGCATCGTGGCCAAATGCTTAAGAAATAACTTGGTAATAAAACTAAATGTAGCGATTGGATGACACATTTATTTTGATGTCAGATTTCTCTGAAATTTCCAGTGGAGATACAATGATGTGTAGATTATCGAGAAGCGTAGGCGTATTCTCGAGTTTCTCGAGTGATGGAAGTTTAATTCTTTTAATCCCGTTTGATCCCGAGCAATTCAGATACTCGAAGAAGAATTTTTTGATCTTAAAGGACAACGATTCTATAGAATGTTCGAATATCTCGAGAGAGATATTAAACATCGTGGAACATTCCATTTTCTCCATTAAAAATGATCATAAAAGAAAAATGGTAAAAATGGTAGATACAATTTAAAATTGATCTTTTGAAAATTAAAATATAAAAATCATTCAAAAATGTTTAAATTTGTTTCGCTAAAATAAATAAATATAAATTATTTAGAAAAAAAATCAAAAATGATCATAAAAAAAAAAATGGTAAAAATGGTAGATACAATTTAAAATTGACTTTTTAAAAATTAAAATATAAAAATCATTCAAAAACGTTTAAGTTTGTTTCGCTAAAATAAATAAATATAAATTATTTAGAAAAAAAATCAAAATTTAAAAAAAATTTTTTAATTTCAATACGAGTCGAAAGCTACTTAATGCCATCACTAGATAAAGTAGCGAGTGAATCGTGTTGTCACATCGGCGCCAAAGCAATTTTAAGGAAGCGGGGTTGATCGAAATAGTAGTAAGAGAACGAGTGAAAGACAGAAAGAGAGAGATACAAAAGTAAAAAAAAATATAAAAATAAAATTGACTCGAACTAAAAGAGATCAGAGAAAAAGTAACAGTTGTGGTGTTCATGTTTTGCCAACCAGTAGGATGTTCTTCCGTTATCTGTTTTCCACTTCCAAGTGTTTCTTCAAATTTTAGAAATAATTGATATAAAGTTCATTACTAAGAAAATAAAACAAAATAATAAATTCAATTTTTTTCATAACTTGAACTGAGTGATAAACGAATAAAAACAATCGTACTTATATACATATATTTTCTTAAAGTTGAAAATACGTATAATTTATAGTGATATTAATGTCATTAGTTGGACAAATAAAAATAATCAGGAGTATACGTTTTTTGAAATTTAAGTTGCGTTGTAATTCAAAAGAGGATGTTAGTGTATCGAACAAGTGACTAAGAACCATAATAAATTCATGTTTTTAACTTTAAACAAAATTTTATTAATGGAGATGTTAATATATATAAGTTCTATAAATAAAAAAAATCGTAAGAATATTTTCTTAACATTTAAAATTAAACTTTAGTGATATTGCTAAAGTATCGATGTTTGTATTGAATTATAATTGTTCGAGTATGAAGTATGTATCTACTGTCAATTCTTCTGCAAAAATTATCATAAATGGGGAAGTTATATTTTCGCCAAATAAAATTTTGGAAAATAGAGTTTTGATTGAATACAATGATGTGACAATTAGAACTATTAGAAGTAAAAACGAAGTGAAAATGATAGATAAAGTCATGGCACTTTGTTATTCTTTGCATGTAAGTTTTAATTTGAAGTAATTTTAATAGGGCGTTACATTTTAATAATATGATATTTCCTTTTTGAACAATTTAATAATGAATAATTTATTATTTAATTATTATTATTAAATATATATTTTTTAATATTATAAATTCTTAAATTCTTTCAAATATCATTATCATTAATGTAATAAATAAATTAATTAATATTTCTAATGAAATATTTTATATATTCATATTTATCGAATATATATATATATATTTAACAAAGTAGATTTTTAAAAGTCGCGAGATATTTTTGATCATGTGAGTTCATGATATGAATAATCGACTGCATATCTCATTAAAATACAATACTCAAAGCACAAGCGTTTCAATCCACTTAAGTGATTGCTTTGTTCCATGCATTAATTGAAATATGAATTAAAATTAGTTGTAATGATTCGCTTATCTGTGAACTATGAGAAAATCTGTTTTTTATAATGGAAATTAGGAAGGAAATATAAAATGCAACATTAAAAATCATGATAAAGAATAATTGGTTTTTGCAAATTTACTTAAACTTTTTAAATTTGGATAAAATTAAATTTGAAATGATAATTATGCGCGAATTAATGTGAATACAATATAAAAACTTGAGACTTACTAAAATTATATCTTGAAATTATGATTTACTAAAATTATGATCATTAATGATATGAAATTATGATATACGGAGGATAATGAGGAAAAGAAAGATGATAATTTAAAAGAAGAAAAAAAAAATCCCTAAAAATTTATGCTAAATTTATATAAATATTTTATACATATATCTTATACAAAAAAATAATAGATATAATTATTTATATATATATAAACTTAAAACATTTTTCTAATAAAGAAATGTAATTTTACAGATGAATAAAACGAAAACCGATAGCATCACTATCAGATTACACTTCTTAACAACAATTCTAATACTGATGTTTTCAGCAATTATTAGCAGCAAACAAGTTGTAGGAAATCCAATAGAATGTGTTCATACCAGGTACGAAAAAGTAAATAATCGATTAGAATTTATTATTTTTAATTATTTTATATGACTAATCTTCTATTTAATCTAAACATATATTGAGTAATTGTATCACGTAATAAAAAAATATGAGATTTCATTTCATAAAATATTTTAATTTAATACGATATTTTATTTTGATTATTGAACGATTATTTGTGCTTCACTGATTTCATTCTTTTGTATAAATTTTCTTGTATAAACTTACATATATATTTTCGTTTGTATTTTATTTTTGTTGAATGCAACTGCAATCGCCATATACATACTTATATTAATTGATGGCAGGTGTCACTTCTATTTTTGTTTGTCTTCACACGCCATCTTTTCTTCTTTTTAGTTTAAGATGCGCATGCGTGATTTTTGGTCGTGTGTTTTTAAACGATAAAATATAAACGATTGTATTGCTTTTCGAGATAATATTTCATATTATCCATATTCAATTTTGAATATGTATATAATTTTGCAGTTTAATATGGCGAATATATTGCTTTTGGTAAGTCTAATTCATGTTTCAAATAAATTTTGCTCCTTCTGTGCTATTTCATAACCTTAAGCTTAATGACGATCTGATGGTCCAGATGTTACATGTATATTTTTGTATTGCGTAAAATATTTCAAAATATGTGAATTTTGGCAATTTATATGTATATAACATAAAATATGTTTCAGTGAAAAAAGAAATCGATATTTTGTGTCATTCAGTTTGTAAAGAATTATTTTTCATTTGAATATTTGTCTTATCATTTGATTTATCTATTTTTAGTTTTATATTATAGTTTATCTGCTGATATTTATATGTATAGTTCTAAACAAGAAGTTGAAGTAGACTCTTGATGCATATGCTCCAAACGGATAAAATTAGATTAAGTTGTCTATGATTGAGATTTGATTAATAGCAATATAATATTAAAATAGATGCATTTGATTTTCAAATAAAACGTTATATAAATAATCGATTATGAATATTTTTAAAAATTAGATGACACACTCATATAATCCTGCGAAATATTATTTTTTTCTTATAAAATTCGGGAATTACTTGAACATATATAATACATAAATTTCAAGTTTTTTTCGGGAATGAGCATATCATACACAAATAAATCTATTATAAATAATTTCCAATGAATTTAGAATGTAATCGATAAATCAATTTATATATGAATTTACTATTTTTACTTTCGTTTTTTTTAGTTTTACTATTTTCTTTCTATTTATTTTACATTCTATTTTATTTATCTTTGCAGAGATATACCCGTTGAGGCTTTCAATTCATATTGCTGGATACACAGTACATATTTTGTGACTAGAGCTATGCTGGGTATCAATGGCATAGACATTGTGGCACCTGGAGTTGCGCCTTCTTATGGAAATCATTATGATCAAGGAGACGATATATTTTCCAATAAGAAAACAATAAAAAATGTAAAATATTACCAGTGGGTCGCCTTCGTCTTAATATTACAAGTAAGTCAACTATTTTTTATGCTTATATTTAGATCACATGTCAAATAAATTTAAAAAAAAATCTATTCGCTAAAAATACGTTAAACTTGATCTTCCATTACATATATATTTCTCAAGAGACATTTTCAAATAACAATTTCATTATTTTTAATAGAATTAATATTCGAAATTAGTGTATATATAAACACAAATTTTAAATTAAAATAAAGCAATTCTTTTGAAACGATTCTAAAATGTTTAAATTTGAAGTAGAAAGACAATTGTTTCAAAAGTCAAATATTTTGTACAAATATAACATAAATTCAAAATAATTAATCATTAATCATATTTGTATATATTATTAACACAAATTTCAATAATCGTATAAAAAGCGACCCATCGTGTTACCAAATCTGTGTAATGCCAGATCAACACGTTTTCCTAATGAAACACGTGTTCCCGAGGAAAGCACACAAATAGAACTTGCCAGTACGGATATGATTGATTTGTGTTTAAGGAGTCGGAAAACGGGAAGTGAGCTGATTGACGTGTAGGTGTTTCCGACCGTTTCGGTTTGAGCACAATGCGAAATTGATTATTTTGTTTTTCACGATACACACTGCCTTTGAACCCCTTTTCTACGTTGGATCTGTGACAAGAACTCTCGAAAATGGAGAAATGTATACTTTGTTCAAATATTGTTATTTTCTTCAACCTAAATGTTGTTTCAAATGTGTTTAATTCTTTTTAAAATTAAATATCGTTAATTATTAAATATTATATACACATATATATATTTAATATTTCTTTCATGCTGTTAATTCGAGAATATAAAATTATAAAATTATAAAAGAATATAAAATTATGAAATCTAATATATTTTTGATATGTTTGTATATTTTTCAATCTGTAAATATTTAAATACTCCTTCGAAATTTGTAAGTTTGATATATTACTACAAATTGCTTGGATAACTATAATTTATGACGTCTAGTTAGTTCAATATATGTATTCAAAGAAAAATCACGCGATTCTCGTTTATATTGGAATAAAAAAAAAATATTTATATATTTTTTTTTTTAAAAATTAGAAATCTGCTTTGATTATTCTTCTATCGGGGAATATAAATAATTATTTGTATTATTTTTTAAACTGATATTTGAAGAAATGTATCGAGATATTTTAAGATATTTTATATTGCTGAGTATGTTGATCGAAATATTCTATATCGAAAAAGCCAGGTTGCAAGTGTTCGATCGTGGCCAATGTGTAAGCAACTGGCACGTGGACGGTTGCTGCCTACTAGACATTTTCATAGATCATTTGGCCACGTGGTCTCCGTCTAAATTAACCTTAAGAACGCGTTTCACGTCACATTATCGAGTATCGAAGTTTCTTCTTATATATATTTCGTCGCTTCTTCCCTTTCGTAACGTTACGCGAATTATATCGCGTTATTATAGCGACATAAAATACTATTTAGAGAAATCTGATGATTGTTTTCTCTGAAAATACAGGGGAGCTGTGAAAATATTAAAATTGCAATACGATCGTTACACTTTAAAATTAAATGCTCTCGAAGCATCCTCCTCGCGATTTTTCATTACTTCTCACTTTTCATTTATTTCTCAAGTTTTATATATTTTCTCGTTAATTCCATCCATTTTAATTCGACAATTTTACCTATAATTAAATAAAATTTCCATATTTCAAATCACGTTAGATTAGTCAGAGGTCAAAATTTTATTTTTTTTTATCGTAATATTTAACGATTCGAATATTAATAATAACGATATAAATACTCTTTACTAAAAAGAAGTTATGTACGAACAAGAATCCTAAGAAGAAGAATCCTTCGTTACCTATTCCCACTCTTTACTTTCTTGGCCGTGCATTTAATCTGATATCACACGTATGTTCATCATACAAAAATTATTTTCAATTATGAGGTTATTTGAGAGATTCAGTAAATCTGTGTTCATGTTGGCAAATAACACGGAAACAAAAAAAAAAAAAAATAAAAATAAAAATACAATTCCTTGATAAATCAGACTTTTTCCCAATTATTAATATACTGTATCATAGAATTACGTCCACGTAATTTTATAAATCGTATCAGGCGTATTTAATAAAATATTTCGAAATCGACTATAACCGTTGATATTTCGCAAATCCATCTCCATCGATAGCCATTTAGGTGATTGAGAACGGGCCGAATACACGGCATTATTAAAACGCCTATCCACTCGAGTTTTCGCGGGTTCGAGCAACGTCTCTCTTTCTCGCGTCGCG